CGCCGTGGTATTACCTGTAGCTGTCTAAAGTAGCCTCATTAAGGCTGCGACGAGGTGATTCATCCAGAATATTAACGACCTTAAATCCGTGAGTCACACCCTGATCTCACTCTGTTACCTCGAACCTCCAAGCAGCAGGGATGGATCTTCTGGTCCAGAGAAACTCGCGTTGTGGCCGCTCACCTCTCACTTTAGCGTTGCAATTGTTAACTGTTCTGGTAATTTTTAGGGCCCTGGAAATGGGCACAAGGGTGTTGTCTCTCATCTACTAGGAAACCTTTACAAAAACCTCCTTTATTGGTGTTGTTAAGTGAACCAAGCATTACCATGTTTTTGTTCATTAAGGGTGAAATAATAGTCCAGAATTATTCATTTTGCGTTGCTTTAATCAATAGTTTGGCAGGGGATACAGCATCAGGCACAATTTTATAATGATTAAATTTCATGAGTACATAGGATACACTTTCTTCCCTAAGTGAGGCGATGACTACTATCTGAGGAATTCTAAACCTCAAGAGCCCTTGAGGATTTATAGATACTGCCTTCACATAGACCTTTCACAAATCAAGCCAAAAGATGTTCTCCCTCAACTCCCTCATGAACCAGAAGCACCTTCGAGCAAGTCTCACCAGTAACCAATTCAGTACTCCCAAATTTATTCTGTATGCTGTTCTTCCAATTTGATGAAACAATTTAATCAGAGCAGAGTAAGAATGAGGTCGTCCGCTTACCATGATTTTGAGGCGACCCTTAGTGAGTCACTGTGATGGTAAGGGCATATTTCCAGTTCTCTAGGAGAGAGATACCGGCCGAACCTCGAAGGCAAGCACAGCTATCCCAAATTAGAGGATCAGAATTTTGGACGGGCCCAGGTCAAGCTATTAATAGAAGTAGGAAGCTCATCCAGTTTAAGTATCGATGAACGAAAGCTTAAATCCAATCCCATCTCGGTGAAGAAAAGAATTAACTTCCAACATCGTCTCAAGACTGGTAAAATCCAACTCCTTTTCGGGCTCCTTCGGATCCGACGAGCTGCCTCTTGCCTGTAATTCCCTCTGCTCGGCTCTCCAGTTCAGCTTTGACTCTGCATTGACCAAGTTCAATCCGTTCAGTCTGTATTTAAAGACCTCTTTTTCCCTCCTCCTCTTAAGGAGGGGTTTTGGAAAATTACATCATCTCTCTTCCAGTAACTCGTCTGCTGTTTTGCACCTCAACCGGTTTAGACCAGTTTTCTGGTACTTTCCAGAACTTTGTTTTGCTCAAAAATGCGTCATCATGAGATGAGCTGAGTTCGAACTCCATGACATCTTGTTCTCTTTCTACTGCTCGAGGCAAGCCCAGGCTTGTCCTAGATGGGCATGTCCAGACTTGTTCACTGTTACATGAGGCCTCAGCACTGCTCTTCAACTTCAACACTTCACAAGTAAAAGTAAATCACACAATCATACAATGGATTATACAATTCTTAAAAATCAATACTTTCATTAGTTGATTACTTGTTGATTATTAGTAAAACAGTAAAACACTTTTGAGTACACATTATCATATTTAGCTTGATTTAAAGCAGGAGTTAAGTCCTTTCGTTTTCAGCTGCTGAGGAAGACCTGATCAGGCTTCAACTTCATTAAAGCTGGTCGTCTGTCATGCATCATCACTTCAGACACCTGGTTTATCGACAAGAGCTTTGTAGGTTAGAAGTAAGATTTTGAATTCTATTCTGGATTTGACAGGGAGCCAGTGGAGAAAAGCTAAAACTGGAGAGAGATGATCTCTCCCAGTAACTCCAGTTAAGACTCTGGCAGCAGCATGTTGGATCAACTGAAGACGTTTTAAAGAAGTATTTGGACACCCAGATAATAAACCATTGCAATAGTCCAGTCTAGACGTGACAAATGCATGGACCAGTTTTTCTGCATCATCTTTAGATCACATGTTTCTAATGTTAGTGATATTACGCAGGTGGAAGAAGGAGGTTCTAGTAACGCTTTTAATGTGGGGGATAAAAGACATGTCCTGATCAAAAATAACACCAAGATTTTTAACATTAGAGCTGGAGGACAGATTAATGCATCTAAGGAGGGAGAAAGACTGAAACATTCATTCCTAAGGTGCTCAGGTCCAAAAACCAAAACCTCAGTCTTGTCTGTTCAACAGGAGAAAATTAAGGGTCATCCAGGTTTTTATGTCTTTAAGACATGCTTGTAATCACTATAGAGAAGTCTAAAAAAGTCTTGCCTGTGTATTGGCAGTTTAAAGATGAAGAACACAGATTCACACTCAGAACTCATCAAGCTCTCAGCTAAGTTCTGGAGGGTTGAACAGATGTGGTCAGGCCAGGCTGATGTGTTTCAGGTACAACATACAGTCCCAACCAGGAAGTCAGAACTTCATGGTGGACATGTTCTCCTGATGACGATTTGCTCACGAAGACAGCTGAAGTCTCTCTTGTCCTAACTGAACTCTCACGTGGTTAAACCTGGCTGTGGATAGTCACCAATCTGTTGCTTCAAATCCTTTAGGTGCAACAGAAGGTCACTAACACTATCGGGTTGCCACATCAAACTCCAAGATGGCCACTACCATACAGTATTCAGACCCTTTCCAGAAAATGAGAATATCATGGAGAAGTTGTGTAACTTCCATAATTCCATTCAAAAGTTCATCTTTAACAGACGATAGATTCAGGGACCACAATTTAAACTATTTCAAGTAGTTATTGTTTATTTTTTACATAATTTGGTTTATTTGTTTATTTTTACATAATTTGGTTT